TCTGTTTCCGTGCTGTATATCTCTATGACTCTATGACCCTATGAATAATTTGTTCTAATGAGAACTTCAGAGTGCCATTCCTCAGGGTCATCAGTATGTAACAGATGATATCATGTGTTTCCTCTTAAATAACATTGAGTCCTCTAATCCAGAACAGGAACCAGTGTCTGTATTTGGTTGATTGATTGATTGATTGATTTATGATCATGTGTACCTAAGTACAGTGAAAAGCTTTGTTTATGAGCAGTACGGGCAGATCATAGTAAGCAAAGACATACAGATCATAGGGTGCTTGGACAGAGCGAGGCATACAGGTTACACTGCAAAGGAAGTGTGCAAAGCAAGATCAACATTATTTGAAGTCAGAGACTCCATTCATCAGTCTAATAATGGCAGGGAAGAAGCTGTTCTTGATTACGCCGTACCCTGTTCAATTCATCCTTGCAGATGCCTGCACACTGAAGTGACAGTATTTAACACAAAATTCACAAATAGCCCCAGTGGTAACAAAACATGCTGAAGACTCACCCATGTCTGAGAACTCAGAGAATAACCTTGACTCCAAGTGGTTCATGACAGCACAAAAATTAGAATTAGAATTAAGTGTTATTGCCACACGTACTCAAGTACAGAAATACAGGAGTACAGTGAAAAGTTTACAATGTCACCTCTCATTAAGCCATCTTTGGTACAAAGTACCTTGGTACAAATCTTAGATACAAAAAGAGGAGTAATGAAGAAAAAAGTTGCATTACCATACAGTGATACATAGTATAAGTTAGAAATAAGACATTGTTAAAAGGATAAACATTACAAGGCAACTAAATACCACTGCCATTCCTGCTGCTTGTGTATTTCCACAGAACAGCACCCAAAAAAAGCAGCCCAGGGGGATATCAGTCTAAGCATAGCAAATTTTGGATATACTTCATAGCGAAAAATCTTTTCAATCTAGCAGGCTGCCAGTTAGGAAAAACAGAGGGAAAATATTTGTGAAGTTCTAATGCCAAAGCATTTCTAATTAATCAGCATTGCATCTACAACAAGCCCCACCTCTCCACCCACTCTGCCCCACCAGCTGCCAACAAAAGGGCTAACCTCTCCCTTACAGAGCTCGTTTGGCACCATCTCATGGTGCCACTTCTGGCACTGTCTTGTATCTATACCACGTATTTTCTTCCTGCTGTGTCTCCAGTGAAAGAACATGCATGGGTCTGCTCAAACTGAGTCTAATGTAATGGCCTTCATGATAGAACAGCACCATTGCAAACTCTGTTTGACAGACTAAACCGCTGAGCAAAGAATGGCTGAATTCAATGCTACATGAGCAGAATCCTTTGTTTTCCACTGGCTTAGGTCTAGGGCTATTCTGTTTAAATATGTGAATTTCATACAGTTACTTATTCCATAACTTCATACACAAAGGCATTTTGAGGATGAGCATGTCTTTTGACAGCACCCAGTCGCACCAGAATTAGCATGTATTCAGAATGAACAGAACTCAAACCTATCTGATTTGTGAACCAATTACTGATCCTCTGAGATGCTTTTCCTCAAAACCAAGATGATCTTATATGCTGAGAGAAGGAAGTTAACATACTGAACAAAACCATAGATGTGTTTCAGTCTCTGGGAGTTGCTATCGAATAAGAATACAAGAAAAAGATATTATTAAGCTAGAGAGGGTTCAGAAGAGGCTCTGGTTTCCTCCCACAGCCCAAAGATGTGCAGGCTGGGTGGATTGGCCATGATAAATTGCCCGCAGTGTTCAGGGAGGTGTAGATTAGGTGGGTTATAGGGGGATGGGTCTGGGTGGGATGCTCTGAGGTTTGGTGTGGACTTGTTGGGCCGAAGGGCCTGTTTCCACACTGTAGAGATTCTCTGATTCTATGATTCAAAGGTTGGATAGACTGGGAGTTTTTTTCATTTGAGCGTAGGAGGTTGAGAGGTGACCTTACAGAGCTTTATAAAATAATAAGGGGTATTGACAGGGTTAGTGATAGATGTCTTTCTCTCTAGGATGAAAGATTTCAAGACTAGGAGGCATACTTTTAAGGTGAGAGGAGAGAGATTTTAAAAAGATGAGCGACAATTTTTTTATACAGAGAATGGTTCGCATGTGGTAGGAAGTGGTGGATGTGGGCACAGTTACAACATTTAAAAGACACTTGGATAAGTACATGAATAGGAAAGGTTTGGAGGGATCTGGGCGAGGAGCAGGCAGGTGGGATTAGTTTAGTTTGGATTATGTTCGGCATGGTCTGGTTGAACCAAAGCGTCTGTTTCCATGCTGTATGACTCTGTGACTCTATAATAGAATAGTTCATCACCCCAGCTGAGATCAAGTCATTCCATCAAACAAATCCTAGACCTTTCCATCTCTGCATCTCATTACCATGTGGTTATCTTTACTCCACTGAGCTTTTGGAGAATTGGTAATATTTGTTAATAGAATTGAAATTATTTTCTTGTGCGGGCATTATAAAAATCTAGTTTCTTTGAAGAGTTTCTTCAGCCTTTAAGAGCAGTATTCAAGTTCAAAAGGGATCCAAAAGATTTCCTTCACATTATTGTGAATGAAGCCATTTCTCATCTACAAAAAACATGTTTACAATTTCCAACACATTGTTGATGGGGAAACCATCTGAAATGTAATTTCAGTATGTTCTTAATGATAAGCCGAAAAGGACTGAGTTAATTCCTTCATGAGCAGTAGGAAGCTTTTCAGTTCTTTTGTGCCAGATTTTTTTTCTTTTTGTTATGCTTTTGTTAATTGGATTGCAGCTTCTTCTGAATTCTATTTGAAGGATTGGCTGTCAATTTTGCAGTCACAGGCCCCACAGACTTGTGGTCAATGTACTACACTGACACTTTTAAGTCACACAGATATAGACCAAATTGCTCAAAGTCAGGTCTGTCAGGATCAACAGAGAAATGTTCTAGCGGACAGCAGAATCACTATGATTTTCAAAGACCTTGTATTTACAGTCGTAATTGCAAGATGCTGTAATTTAATTTGCAGAATAAAGATTAATCCACATTTTGACAAACTCAGAAACGTAATTTGATTATACAAATGAATTCTGTAAAGGACTGTGTCCCTTTATTTCATGTTTTTTTATAAACGGGGGGACCGAAATGAGAAAGAGCTGTTTTAAAAACCAGTGGCTGCTGTTCTGAAAAGCAAATGACCCAGAATCCACTGCAGGCATTGTATAGACAGCACCAGCTACAGTCTGAGTTGCGGTCAGTTTGGAGCTAAAGAGATGTAACTGATGCAACTTTTGCTGGCAACAGAAGTCGATTGGTCCACGGACTGTTGTCCAGTTATCACCAGCTGTGTGATTCATTTTCCGAGAACTGAACAACTTGGAACTGGAAAAAAATGAGAGGAGATTTATAGAGTGAGAGAGAGATAGTGATAATAGACCGAGAAGGATAGATAGAGATATAGAGAGAGATAGCTAGAGCAAGATATAGAGAGTGACAGATACAGCAAGAGATGTGATAGAGTGAGAGATAGAGAGGGATGCAGCGAGAGACAGAGAAGGATACCATGAGTGATAGAGAGGGATAAAGAGGGATAGAGCAAGAGACAGAGAGGGATAGAGTGAGAGATAAAGAGGGATAGAGACAGAGATGGAAAGGGATAGAGTGAGAGAGAGAAAGGGATAGAGATAGAGAGAGACAGAGGGATGCAGAGATAGGGAGATAAATAGTGAGAGATATATAGGGAGAGATACACACAGAGAGAGATAGATCAAGAGATATAGAGATAGATAGTGTTCAGTTCTTCTCCAGCTCAGCAGCAGTCTGTCTGTTCTCTGCAGTCAAACCTCACATAAATCTAGAGAAAGCCAGTTTATCTTCCCTGTAACAATTGCTTTTAAGTTGTAACTTTTACTTGATTAGTCAGAGGCTATTTGTAATGGAGCCAACCACCTTGTGTTTCTCATTAACCAGTGGAAGCATCCAGAGAAAGATGACTGAAACAACATGCTGGCCAGCAGAAGAGTCATCAGCAAAATTTCAGCACAGAACCTGCAACAAAGGCTCCCAAACTCTCTTTCCAGTTTTTCCACTCTGCCATAACCTATTATTTTAAACTCTGCCTCTGTAAAAGGGGTGTTTTTAAGGAAATTAGATTTTAATTAGCAGTGTTATGTGCTGATGGTTTTCAATTGTTTACCTGCTGCTAAAGTCTAATTATTTGTAATAAATAGTGATTATTGTTTAGTGCAGAAGGCTGGTCCACGCTTTCAATCAATTTGGGTATGAAAATCAGGTAAATTGGGGGAATCTTGCGTACTTTATAAAATCTTTAACTTTTGTGATGACTCAAGGAATAGAGGGGCTTAGTTTTTAACATATTACTGCAATGAGTCCTAACATTTCAAAGAAATGGCCATATTCAAAACTGATATGTAATCTGGAGTCTCTGTATTTAGCTATAAACAAAACCTCCTGAAAATTCATTCACAAGATAAAAGCATTGCTGGCTAGGCCAGAATTTATTACTGTGGATCTGGAGTCACATGTAGGCCAGATTAGGTAGGGATGGCAGAATTACTTCCTTAAAGAGCACTGGTTCATCAGATGAGTTTTTATAACAATTGACATTGGTCATTGAATGTAAATTTCACCATCTACCCATGGTGAGATTTGAATCAATGTCCCCAGAACATTAAACTAACCTGGGGTTTGAGATTACTAATCCAGAATAATGCCATAACACTGCTGCCTCCCCTGAAATAATGCAGCAGCTATAACTTATTCAAACCTATTTGGAAAATATTTACTGATCACAGAGAACAAATATATTCCAGTTTTACCGGCTTTGCTACATTAAAGCACTTGAAGTTCCACAAAGAAATTCTGAAGAAGCGCAAATTAAATAATATGTACAAAAAAAATTATCTTTTGTTAAAGCTGATGATAAACATTATCCCTCCAACTAACAAAGGCACCTGCAGCTTTTCATAGTTAATACAAAATGTTACCTTGGAAACTTCGTTTTGGGATTAACTTCTTGGTTTGTTCAAATGCTTTTGCCACCGCTGGTCCCTTCAGAAGATTACTGACTGCATCTACCTGTAGGGATAAAGCAATATCACTCACAAAGCAATATTAGCACAGACTTAAACCCCTGACTTGAAATAGGACTGGCCTGTAACAGAATGGATCTGGAGTGTTATCTTGTAATACGTTCCTTTAATGAGTTCAGACGCAAAATATTTATGATATTGACCTAGTGCTCACCAGCAGCAGTATGTACTATCTCCCAAGATACACTGCAGAAATTCTCCAAAGATCCTTAGACAGCAACTTCCAAACCCATAACCACTTCCACCTAGAAGGGCAAGGGCTGCAAATTCAAGGGAATATCACCACCTTCAAGATCACCTTCAAGCAACGTACCATCCTCACTTGGAAATTATCATAGTCCTTTCACTGTCACTGGGTCAAAATCCAGGACTTCCCTCCCCAACAGTATTTGGGTCACAGCACGTGGACTGCAGTGATTCAAGAAGGCAGTCTGCAACCTCCTCAAGGGCAACTGTGCCAGCCAGTACCACTCATGTCCCATGAGTGAATTATATCTCCTGACTTGAGATAGGACTGGCTTGTAACATAATGGATCTGAAGTGTCATCTTATAAAATGTTCCTTCACTTTAGTGAGTTCAGATCCAAAATATTTGTAATTTTGCACCAATCAGAAGAAACCCTAACCTCAATAGACGGATTCTCTGGTCAGTACAACTCAGTAAATGATCCGAGAAAACATCACTAACCAGGACTAACAGAAAATCAAAAGTGGAATTACACACGCCCTCTCTCCACTTTATCAATGGACTGATTTGATTTATGCATCTTCCACAGTATTCTCCACCATCAGCTCGGTCAAAAACAACCTCCCCAGCCTCATTTCCACCTCTTCATTGTCCTAGACATGGATTATTGTTGTTCAGTAAAGTTGGTGGGTGATAAAGGAAGTAGCAGGAAAACATGCGGATGCTAAGCCTATCTGGCACAAAAGGAACTTCTGCCTCTGCCCACTTGCCTGGCATGGTCTTGGTAGTTTCTCTCCCACCTTTGTCATCATACTTGAAATACTGCTATCTGACCCAAGTATGACATTGAAAAAGTTTTCTGTGTTTGAGTGTGTGATAAAGTGTGTGTGGGTGTGTGTGCGCGCGCGCGAGAGAGAGTGTGTGTGTGAGTGACAGAGTATCTATGTGCGCGAGAGAGAGAGAGTGTGTGTGTGTGAGCAAGAGAGAGTGTGTCTGTGTGCGTGCGTGCATACGTATATATGCGTGCGTGCATACGTATATATGCATGTGAGAGTGAGTGAGTGAGAGAAAGTGTGTGTGAGCATGAGTGTGTATGAGCATGAGAGAGTATTTGTGTGAGCGTGAAAGAGTGTGTGTGTGAGAGTGAGAGTGTGTGTGAGCTCGAGGGAGAGAGTGTGTGTGAGTATGATAGAGAGAGAGTGTGTGAGGGTGAGAGAGTGTGTGCGAATGTGCGTGTGTGCGAATGTGCTTGTGTGCGTGCGCGTGTGCGTGCGCGTCACTGAGCATTTCAAACAAATTTTAAATATATCAATAATTATTAGCAACCCTGGAGTTATTTTTGCCTTTTCAGTTATTTCCTAAAACAGTAATGTAGGTGCCAACACGGCTTGGAATTATTCAGCCTGAAGATACGCTGGAGGTTAACTAACTCTTCACATGCAAATAATGTCTCCATTCAGAGATTCTAGGAACTGCAGATGCTGGAGAATCCGAGATAACAAGGTGTAGAGCTGGATGAACACAGCAGGCCAAGC